GCACACCGTTACGGCCATCATCGCATTTTCTGCTTCCTTAAAATAGCAGAACTTTAATGCTGAGGATTAGAACGACCGATTCGACACGCGGAAAATTCATGACGATTGGCTTCAGTAAGGTAAAACTGATGACAAGCTTCAATCGGTAGAATTGATGACTTGAATCTGACATATCTGATGTCATGAAGGACTATGACATTCCTGCTTGTTGTCGCCGTTTATTAGTTACAGTATTAGCGTGACTCTAAATGCGGCGTTTTACTGGTGCGTGGTCATCTGCTGTGACTGATTTCTGTTAGCCTTGTTCTGGCCTCTGAATGGCATATTTTGCTTTTTACTGCGAATATATAGCGTATAAAATATTCGGACGCAATAGAAAAGCGTACGGTGATAATCAGATTCACCAAAGTCGATTTGATGGAGTATAGCATCTTATCACCTGCCAGTAGAATAAGGACAGAAGTAGTCTTGAATAAGGACAGACCGAGTTCCTGTTTATCTGACAACCGTCGCACTCTTTCAACACCGTTTGCCACTCATCCTTTCTGGCTGCATTGTCAGTCTTCCTTACTTCCCCTTTCGGTCAATGTTTCCTGTCCCTGTGCACTGTAGCACTGGTTGACTGTACAAACGAGATGGCGATGAACTGCCGTCCAGGGTGTAGTAAGGTATTGAAACCACTCCTTTTATCTTATTCTGTTTCACTCTAAGGGCTGAGGTCTTCTCCATAACCCAGGGCAGTTTGGCTATTCTCTTCCTGATCCCAGCTGCGTTTTTCGCCAAACAAATGACGGTGTCTCTGAAGTCTTCATCGGCCTTGGCACTTCCAGACTTGGATGTTAAGGGTGGCACTAAAATAACTGTGTATTTCCATTTGGTAGGTCGACCAAATTTTAAACGGTCGGCGTCCAACATCTGAGGTATTTCAACCTGATGACGTCGAAGCGACACGGCTATGTAGGATGAAATTCCGCTACGATAGTACGGTGATCAGATCCAACGCAGATGCCACTCCTGAAGCAAGTGTCCAGAAACGAGCTGCGCCATTTGCGGTTAATGATTGCCTGATCCAGATGGGTGTTTAGCTTTTCATCGGGGGACATCCACGTGGTTTGATAAATTCGCTTATGATGAATAAGAGACCTACCGACTCGGCATAAGGGGCTCTTTTGTGGCGCCGAAAGCTTAACAGACTCCGCCTTTGTCATTCATTTGGTCATTGGTGTACTTGAGCACACTTTCGCCTAGAGGTCGTCTGTGACAATTCTAACGAAATGCTTGCAGCCGACTTCAAACTGTCATAGAGATTGTCTCTGTGGCTATCATTCGTCACATTTTTCAGTGCATTTTCGATAATGACATTCAACCTTGTCTGTTTGCACGTGTCTGTTTCACTCTAAAGATCAGGATTTTCCGTTTCACCCATTTCAAATCCAGTAAACACGAGTGGGCTGAAAACATGTCATGAATTAAATAAGCTGAGCTCTCGAGCAGCTGCATCTGCCATTCCGTTAATACATAAGTTAATCAAGTTTTTATGCTGTTTTGGAGACTACGAATCACGAGTTGCCAGGCTAATTTCCTGCTTGATGAAGAATCCTCGGCAGAAATCCATCTCGGATGAACAGTACTAAATTTGACAATTCGCAGACTACGTTCAAATAAATCTACAAAACATCTTCTCTTCTGTTCTGTGCTGTGCATTTGGACTTTCCTTGGATTCAGTCACTGGGCAACTTAGTTACAACCTCTTAAATATTTCCAGTCCTGAATTGAATTCGTTTGCCTGTTATATACACAACAGATACCAAAGTGAATTCATGCAACTTTTCTTTTAAACCCAGTTCTATTTTTACAAATGGCACATCCCCTAACATACAGTTCAAACAGTCATAAACGGTACTGATACATATACGATAGCTAGGTCACTAAATCATTCCATCATCCTAATTGGTTTTGCTCCTTCACCGTACAGTAGCACAGCGGTGAACGCGTCTCTTACCTAGTGGGTTAGGGACTGCCGTGTTGGGGAAATCGAAAGATTTCGCACTCAGATCCGCAGACGATTAACATATTGCAGTCTGGAAGTAAACGATATGCGATGTAATGACTTATCGTACGTGGTAACAGTACAATGACGTCTTTTTTGAATATTTAATTTCCTTCTCTCACTTTCTGTTCATTTCAACTATGCATCACAGTGTGCACCTGCATCTGTGGCATATAAGGTTTTGTGCCACAGCTTTGTAGTTGTTTGTCTCTGAATTTCTCCCTGTTCTTAGCTGGAGCAGATTATTTCCATCAATTTGCATCTCGGTCTGCTTTCGGTGATGAAATTTTCCATTTTCTAAAGGACTTTGATGAACCTTTTGCATCAGTTTGCATCTTGGTCTGGTTTCGTTGATGAAATTTCGCAATTTACCAACGGACCTTGATGAGCCACTTGTTGTTCAGTGTATGACGAATTCTGACTTTATGATATTATCTAACTCATAATTAACGTTGATTACTATTGCTTGAATTTTCAGGCGGTTTCTGCTAGGTCATTAAGCTGCACGGTTTAAATGGCGTTGCTAATTAATATCTACCGATTTATTTCATCAGGCAGAGCGTTCATTTCTGTCTAAGGAGTTCGAAATACTCTTGCTGGAAATAAGAACATTCTACATTCACTACCACTCTGTTTTTATTTGCAATCAACAGCACTAATTACTAGCATAACCAACAAATATTCAAAGGCTAACCCAATATAGCTAGTTTTGATGCTGTTAGTAGGCAGTTTAATAACTTGAACTTTCATTATTGGCATTCTCACCTGCCTCTTTAAATTTTTCTTTTGTTTGACCTAAATAACTTCAGCATTTATCTTACAAGAGGGAAAGGTTCAAAATTACTGAAAAACTCTCAGTGAAATATGCTTGAAAATGCTTGTTTAACATGAGTGCGAACCGTTAATTGTCGAGTGACAACCTAGCTGTTCGACTCACTCTCACGGCATCGACTAGGTTCTGTTCAGGTTCACTCCTCTCGCCCTTATTCAACAAATACTGCACGGTTCAACAACATTCAGCGAGAGCAAAACCAAGCAATATACGCAACATTAGCTGGAAGGAAAAGCATGTCATAGTAAGTTGCAACAAGCCTAAACAAGCTATACTAGGATATTAAAATGCCGAGCGTTGTCAATGAATGACTCGTCCAAAGCTAGAGTCATCAGTTATCTGAGATACTTGGATGAAGGAAGAATTTTTGATGTTTAATAAGAGCTCAGGTTATGTAAAATCGAATGTTTAAGCATTCTTCCATCGTGCGTTAAAGCATAGAAACGACTGCATTTAGTACACATCACTAAAAGTAGCAACTGAGATAATTGATATTTTTTGTTAGTAGCTAACCTCAGGTGGAATGACTCTATTTGAAAGGGAGAAATGAAGGAATCACTTGTTTTGTCAAAGTGCAGTAAAACATATTAAAACCAGATATCAGAGGTAGTAATTGAAGTTGGGCATTTTTTTTTAAACAGCATCATCACGAAATCTCGCTTTCAGCAAATATGAAAGAAAATAAATATTTGCGCAAACTAATGTTGATCTTTGCAACAAATAGATAGGAGCGGAAATAGAACAATCACATAAAACTGTAGTCAAAGCATCAATGAACAAATGAACAAATTGCTGTTTTTGATTTATTGTAAAACGGTCGCATCCTGGAAAGGAACAGAATTTTTAATCGTTCTCATTTGCTAGTGTTTTGAGGTCATGTGTTTGAACAGGTGACAGAATTGCTTGTTAAGGTGTCGATAATTTTGCTAAGCGAGTTATTTAAGGAGGTAACAAGGCGTAGTAGGCTTCGCTTGAAAATTGTGCCAATTTAAGCAAACCAGACTACTACTAGCAATTAGACAACAACAGGATAATTAAATATTTCATACTAACCAATTTTGAGGAAATAATCGGTAGGGGGTCAAGAATAAAACAAAACTGAATACTTATTTTATCAGCTTACTACCATAGCGTTAGTTTTTGATACTGCCGTCAAGAATATCACAAGATCTTCCTTCACTAAGACAAGCGAATTACGTCGTGAAAAATATAGCATGGTGAAATCTTCAGGTACAATCTGACTTAGAGCTCTGCACCTTTGCAAAACATACTTGACAGGGACTGCTAAACCCAGCGTAAATTCCTTTCCCTGTCTGGAGTGTGGATGAGTGATGTTTTCTTTCTGTCGCTTCACCACAATGCATCGATGGCAGTTTTAGAAATTATCAAGAGGTTCGTGCAATCCAGTCTGGAAACCTGTAGGGATTTACACCATAATGAAATGCTTCCTTTCTAGCTTTACAGAATGACATGGACACGAATGCACTTTGAGAGTCTGAGATAATTGATAATTAATTTAATCTCACATGTGATTATGAAAGAATTTTATGGTATGTGGATTAAACTAAATTAAATAAGTTAAAAGTTGTATGCATTGTTGAATCATGAATTTTACTTAATGCGGTATCCCTTCCGCAAAATATAAAGAATCTTAAACCGGCTTGATAAAATGGGTCGTGCTTTGTTTCTGGATGAATCAATGTTATGGAGTCTGCACGATGCAATGGCCAAATTTAAGTTTCAATTGTCTTCCGATGTAGAATCAACTAGTGACGTATATCGCATCAAGGTTTTGAGGCACTTCCATCCGTTCATCAAATCCTACCGACGAAACATCACAGAAGTTTTTGGAAATTGTTCGTTGTAACTAGACTGAATTGAAAAGAGCAGCAAGAAGCCAAAAATGAGGTTACCTTCCGCAGAATCGCCGATGGCCAACCAACGGCCGCGTAATGTATATTTGAAGGACATGCAGGTGACGCCCTGCCGCTCAATTACCTTATTACACTTCAGGGAGAGAGCCCGACAAAAGTTCAAAAACAACACTCGCTACGAATTGAAAATAAGGACGTGTTCTGCTGTGACCATTGTCACCGAGAGAGACAGAGAGAGTTACCGGTTTGACCGGTATCGCGAAGTCTCGCCGTCGCCGTTCGATGCGCGCTTCCAGTCCGACGTGCGTTATTCACTCGTCGATACCTCAGAGAAGGTAGGCGGGCGGACGTCTGCTTGAATCCACCTTCCTTTGCGAGTCTGACTTAGCGGCTGCCCCTCACTTACTAAACAGGACTGGGAGGATCACGGCTGTGATTGCTGGTCGGTTGAATTTCGATCGCCGATCGAATTCTTGGTCGATCGCCGGGCCAAAGTGTAAATTGTCACACTGAGCCGTTTGTTCTTTGCTTCTGTGCAGCATTTGCTCTCACCGCCTGTTATTACAGATATCGAAGCGGAAGAATGACAGACTGACTCTGTCGATCGAACTGGGCAGTGTGGAGAAAATGGAGACGACCGGCACCAGTGATCCGACAGCGGCGACGGCGATCTCAACAACCATCGCATCTCCTCAGAACTCAATCAGCCTGACGATTGGAGGCGACGGCACGATCACCGGTAGGAAAGATCGCCAGCGATCGCAATCGCGTATTACGCACATATTCCCGAACCCCTTCAAGCCGGTAAGTTCAACCACTGTTCATGGATTTCATACTTTTACCTCTCGATGCTATTTGGTGAAGACAAGGGTATGTCATTCACTCCATTTGACCTCCGTCTTCCTTGTCCGTGTATTGAGAGAGCATTCGTTATTTCATTGCCAACGACGACTAGGCCCGAGTTCCAGACGAAACTCAAAAAATCTTAGTTTCTATGCCTACAACCATTTCATGGTAAAACTTCATTGCAGAATAGTTCTTCCTTTAGCCCATTGGTACTGAACCTGCATGATAGTGTGATGCTGAATGCTTTCATGGATATTTCGGTAGGCAACGTTCCCTCGAAATAGTTGGTTCGCCACGAAGATCTTGATAACGCTCATGGTCGAGTTACCACTCACTCATTCACCCAGTTGCAGGTGTTGTTCACGTAGATGCAGTGACATTCCTATTTTCTACATTTTTAGGTTTTTGACGAGTGATTGTTCCACAGTTCATTCTCGATGCCCCCACCCCGTGATGTTTTCCTAACTTTCTTCCACATAACGCGTTAAAACAGTAAATATTTGTGACGCTTTGTCGCGGACAGATAGCATTGACGAGTTACTGTTATCCCAGCTGCTAAAGCTGTTCGGTAAGGAAAAAATGAAAAAATAAAATTCTTGACTTCAATTTAAAACGAGGTCAGTTAAAGAAACTTTTGAGCCCAACTTCTTGCATTTCGTTAAATTTCGGAACATCACTGGTCATCGTGAGGTGACGCAAGATTTCATTGGGCGATGAATGTTAAAGCTACAAAGACGAAAGAGCTACGACAGAGATGAGTGCATGATCCATTTAGCACACAAATCCAATGCAAGCAAAAGAGGTTTGAGAAGGATACTTATTCTTCTTCGTATCGTTCTTACAGAACCGTTGAAATGGCAGGGGGAACTTAATCTGATTTTCTATTGCCAGTACTCTCTTTGTACGTGTACTGAAACGTCAACCCAATTTGTTTAAGGAAAAATTTTTGCACCAAGTAATACACTGCTTTTTCAAAAGTTGACATTCACGATTTCACAAAAATTCAACATAATTGCAATTGTGATAGATATTAATGGTTTTCGATGGTTCATTAGACGAACTGTTGTACTATCATGTGTCTGCTTAAAAATTCATTAAAACCTTTTCAAAATCCGTTTTCATACGGCGTGTGACATTAGCCCATTTCTGTTCATATTCAGTATACGACCGTTGCAATGGCTCACACTTGATTAAGTTATATAAAAAAACTTTTTCCGAAAAATCAATGAGATGCCTTGGTGAATTGTAACTACAATAACAAAGAAAAGTTATATTAACCGCCAAGTAATGCCAGAAGTGCATCCGACCGACAGAGCCCAATTCGCTGTTTTGCTTATGCCCTTTCTGTATATTTGTTACTATCTGTGAAACACGTGATCAGTTTAAAGATGGGTTTCCGCCCAACAGGCTTAAGTGCTGTTTTGAAGACAGCTGTATGATTTGAATGATCTTTCTGAGATCAAATGGACGGATTACATCAAAACAAGCACGATTTGCCTTTATC